CGGCGGCCCTCCGTCTACGTCACATGGCAGGCACCGCCCCGCCCCGGCGCGCCCGCGGCCCGGCTGTGTAGTGCGTGAGCTCAGTGAGCCTGACGTCAGCGTGTGCGGTGGCGCCATACCGTGGGCCCAAGTTTCTGTCATATCAGTAAAGTTTGGTAAAATTATATTATTGGTCTGCCGTTTAAAATGGAGTAGATACAATGTACATTTTAGAAATATTTTTTCATATCAGAATCCTTGTTTAAAGAAAACGAGCCATCTATGTCCTTGTGAGGAAGGGGGGGGGGGGTCACTTTGCCCTCCCTGGGGTCCGGTAGAGACATGTAGTGGGGACTGCTTAAAAATCAGTATGAAATTCTGTATCCTGCTGGTGCAGAAATAATCTGTTAGAGGGATGCAGAAATTTGAATCCAATAACGCGTTCAAATTATTTTCAGTAAAACGTTAAACAAATTTTACGGTGTGTTTAGTAAGTGCTTGCGATCTACATTTGCTTTAACTGGGAGAAATGAACGCAAAATTCTAACCAGTGAACCTTTTCAGGTCTACATCTCCAATTTTCTTGAAATTTGAAAAATTTAAAGGTTATTTATAGAAATTGCAACTTTTCCTGAACCTCACAATTAGTTCTCCCACATACAGGAAAGGAGTAAGGTTTTCAAAGGAGATGTTTTTGAAAAATGACAAGCAGTGTTCTTAGGGGTAACTTGATTCAGTAGCGCCCTTTGCACCAAAATTTTGTCCGTTTTGCTCTATTTTGTACCGTTAAGACGGTAGAGGGATATGTGGGACAAAAAGCAGTGTAACTCTTCAGTAAACCCGTACTAACTGTGAGGCTTGGGAGAGTTTTTAAGTGCCATCCAGCTTTTATTGTAATAACCTTTAAAATTTACGAGTGGCAACGAAATCGGAGATTTACACCTTACAAGGTTCCCCTGTAAAGTTAGGGTAGATGGTGGAGGGAGGGTAAAGGGGGTGGGGGGGTGACGTGCTGCGCGGGTACTTCCATTCAAATAACGCGCGTGCATCCCCCATACTCCCCCCCCCCATCCGCCGCCCCGCCTGGCCCCCGCTGGTCTGGTCCACTCCAGCATTTCTTCGAATCAAAAGGACGCGTTCCTAGTTCGTCTCCACTTCGGGCTCCGGCTGACGACCTGCTGACTGCTGACGGAGGACGGCAAAACATGCGGGGTGCCTACTTTCAGGGGCTCATTTTATTTCTCTGATGAAATATTGGCTGAGTAGTGGCTAACGGAGGAAGAAGAATAGCAA